CATTTACATCCAAATAAAAATTTTCAGTAAAATAAAAAATAAACTTAAAATTAATGATATCACCACCCTCACACGTATGAAAACATAGCGCAAAAATAAATTTAGGTGAAGTGGTGAGATCTCACCCTGTTTTTTCACCTGTTTTTTCACCCACTTGAATTCATTACTTTATAACTCTCTTCCTTTCTCCAACTCTTCTAACTTCTTCTTAAGTTCAGCAATGTTGTCCTCATGAAGTTTAATCTTTCTCAAAATACCTTCTCTATCTAATGGTTGCTTTATCTTTCTAAACTGAACTCTATCCTTCATAGTATGAACGTAAAACCTTCTGGAACCGTTCCTGATTTAATGTATTCTACCAAAAATTTTGTTTCATTGCTTCAGTGACTTTAGTCGTCATTTCAATCAAATAAAAATGTTCAAATAAAATAAAAATAACGTTATTTTTTCAGTAAGGAAACGCAGGAGTTTTACGATTTATTTGAGGAGTAGGTTCTGGTTTAAATGTTGGAGTCGGTTTAGGAGTTGACTTTTGAACAGGAGTTTGTACTTCCATAGGTTCAGGAGTCATTGAAGGTTTTTGTTGTTGAAGGCGTTGGTTTTGGCGATGGTGTCGGAGTTTGTTTAACTTCAGCTACTTCAGTATTATTTATAACATTTGCTTTATTTCTTTTCAACATCATAACTGCTCCTGCTGTAGCTAGCAAACCTAGTGGGAGACCATATCTTATATAAGGACTTGACCAAATGCTATTTTTGACAGGAGCTGGTGGAACACCTAACCTTGGTGAGACTGCTCTTTGCCATTGTGCAGCTCGTAAGAAATATTCAATAGGTGCTCCATAATCGTTTGGTAAAGTTTGTTTCATAGATGGTGAAGGTTCACGAGAGCTTGATGAAGAACTCATTTATAAGCTTTAAAAATAAACGTTCATCCTTTATTCCTCACTGTCGTCCGTTGCTAAGTTATAGTCATCTAATCTTATTATGGGATGCCATTAGCACGCACCTGAATGGCAAAGCAACAATCCCTCATAAATCCAATAAGTGGCTTTGGTACATTTTCAGTTGCTAGTTCAATAGGTCCTTTAACAGACAATTTGTATGTTATTGGAGCAGTAGATGTTTGACCTTGCTGGAAGCAAAAGTCCACTTCTGTTGGAAAACCACATAAGAAATGTGTGTTGTCATAGCTATCCCATTTATGTTCCACACTACCATCATCCACCAATGACCTCATAACATCTTCATTAAATCCTATCATATCATTGTTTGTATTGCAAGCGTTCGCAACCATTTCATAAAATACAGGTCCATATGATTTTTCAGGTTCTGCAGGCATATTTCCATAAGCTCCCATGGAAAGCTGAAGATATTTAAACTTAGGGTTCTCAAAATTAACATAATAGTTGTCTTTCTTTCTAAATAGTGCCCAAATACTTTTAACATTAATAGGCGTATAAGCTGCTGTAAATGTTGCACTTGAACTATCTGTATTCTTTGAGAATGAACCGTCCATAGGAATCCAATCCATAACTTTAACAGGAAAACATAAAGCCTCGTTTGTATAATGTTCTACAAGTTCTGTATAAATGTTAGGGTCTAAAGAGAATGACTTTGGATGAATGAAACATTCATTAAAATCCATCTTTGTTCGAAATAGTTGCTGGGTTACAGTTGTAATAGTAACTGTTCCACTAGCTTCTACTGCCTTCGTTATCATAGTGAATGGTTCATTCCATGGAACAAATTTATTTGTCGGTGGATTTGAATCTGAAGCAAATGCAACTTTAAGAGTTGGATTGAAAGCAATGATATCATTTACAGATATAGATGTGCATTGTAAGGCGTCGCTACTGAACTTTACTTTAAGCTGAATGTTTCCTGCAAAAGCTGGAATAAATCGAATAGCTTCTAATGGAAGGAATCTTCTAACAGGAATTCTTAAACGAAGCTTAAAATCAAATGATTTTCCTGCTGTAATTGGACCACTAACAATTTGTCCTGTTCTGCATGTTCCCGAATGACTCCATACATCTTCATGTCGAGTCTTTGAGAAAACATCTACTTTCTTTATTTGTTCGGTAGTTTGTGAGTTTGAAGTTATATATGCTTCTTCTCTTGCGTTGTCTTGAGAATATACGATACGACCATTTGCAAGGATTTGATATCCAGCAACTGCATAGAAAGCGTCATCGAAACCAATCCAAAATCCTGGTGGGTTTGTTTTATTGGAACCTGAACCAATTTCTTTATCTACAATAAATTGACCTTCCATTTTATACGTAATGAATGTATTGTAAAGGTCCAACATATTTTCACCAGGAGGTGAGAGATTGAATGTTACCCATGTGTTATCTTTAGCAGTTCCAGGTTGTGATGGAATCTTTGCGTCAGAATATTTTCTATTAGTGTCACCAATTTGAACTGCATTGTCTATGATATCGAAATATGAGCGAATCTGATGAATATGCTCTGCTGGAGTAAATTCGTTTAGCTGTTCGTTCTGCATGTATTTACTTCAGATAAAAATATCTATTTACTTCATTATTCTCACTCTTCTTCTTGGCATTCGTGGTGGAAGTTGTTTCTTGACATTTTCAATGAACTGTACATTCTCTTTTGTCTCAACTTCTTTCACTGGCGGGTCAGGGTTCTTTGACTCGGTTTGTTTTTCAATGAAATTCACGAACTTTGCAATAAGCTCTTGGTTCGTTATTGAAAGACATCTGGCTTCTTTTCTTCTTGTTCTATTGACTTTTCAGTTTGAACAGAAGGTTTTATATGGGCTTCGTGGACTTCACCCTTGCCATGCACCTTAATGTTGTCGCTCTCTGCATTCGCTAATGGAACCTTTCTTTTTCTTACGTATATTTTACCATCTTTACTCTGACTTACGTAATAGAAAGGATGTTGTATTCCTCTTGCGTCATTTAATATAATAGACTCTCGCTCTGATTTTGACAAGCTCATTTTACATCGGTTAAAGTTTTAATTTTGTTTTTTATCTGCAGTCAAATGACTCAGACAAGCCCTACGGACAAGACCCAAGGTGTCATAGATGTTGAAGCATTGAAGAAAGAAATTCGTGAGCAAATTTTATCCGAACTGAAGGAACAAAAACAAGAACAAAAGCCAGAGAGACCAAAGAGAAAACTTAGTGAAAAACAACTTGCTGCATTAGCTGCTGGAAGACAAAGAACCCACGTTTGCTGGCGAAAAAAAGCTAGAGCAAGAAGCTGAAGCAAAGAAAGAGTAAATGGTTTATTTTTATCCGAACTAAATGTATAGACAAATACCTTTATCTGTTGCGTTCAGTAGTGAAAACCCTGACGTCAAAATAAAGGGGAACAGAGTAACGTTTAAGTTTCCAACAGACTGGATTGTGAACATAAATGAAGAGAAGTACATTGGCATAACATCTATGTATATAACACGTGCTTTCAGAAAGGTTGACTTTATACTTCAAGTCGAGATAGAAAATGACGAACAGTCTTTAAGCGCCCAAAACATTCACATATACAAATACTTTAAAGACGATACAACATTGTTGCAATGTATGATTTCATTTAATGAGATGTTCGAGAAAAAGTTCAACATTGAAGTACAAACTTTACAGCCTTTACGTGAGTTTCTTGCACAACTGAAAGAAGAAGGTAGTCAGCCACAACTTATAGACTTTCATTATGAATTTAATGAAAATGAAGATGGAACTCATGACTGTCAATTCATTGTATTCTCACCATTCAATGAAGTCGCTAAAGAAAAAAATCCATTACGTATAAGATTTCAAATCTCCGAACCAAGTGATGATTTTAAGAATGTTTTCAATTATGATGCAATGCTTCCGAGGAAAAATGAATTTTCAAAGATTGTAACACCTGGCATTTGGGATAGAAAGCAAGCAATACTTTACTCTAATATAGCCAAAGGCGTTGAAAATGAGTTCATTGGTCATACAAGAACTTCACCACTTCCTAACCCTAAATACTATAAATTAACTGGCTTCAATCGTGAGTTTTGGATAGACATGTTCTCCACTCATGACCATAAATGTCCAGTGTTCTTGCCTCCAGACCATAAGGACTGTCTCTACATTGAAGCACAACTCTTAAACTCTACCATCGCAGTATTGTAAAATCTACGCTAGCTTTATTTTTATCACGAATGACCTCATTCATGACCTCATTCATGACCTCATTGCTGACAAAAATAAGCCGCTAGCGGCAAGGGCGAAGCCCATGACCTCAGAACTTCAACTTACGAATAAAGCTTGTTTTAGTCGTTATTGAAAAGTTGAACTTTTCAGCAAAGCAAGGTTGACATGACTTACATAAGTCGAATGCAATCTCTTGACCATCATAAAGTGCTTTGTAAAGTTTCATTAAACTGAACTCAGAGTCTTTGTCATATGTTCCAACAGGTATGTGAATGTTCTTATCTTCATTGTAATAGCATTGTATAGCTTCAGGAAACATTTCATTAGCGGTTAAAGCAATAACATCTTGCTTCACGCCTTTCATTCTGCAGTGAAATGCAACTTCATTTAAATCGTTAGTGAGTAAGTCTATGTAGGTCTTCTTTCCACAGAAAATACTTTTATAAGCTAAACTTTGTTTTCCAGGTGTTATTTCTGCAAAGTCGCTATGAAATTGACCAAGGTTCTTTCCTATAAGTTCGCGACCATATCTCTTCTTAAACTCTGCTGCAAGCTTTGGTATGTCTTCATTATATAAGTGCATACTGTCGGTATCCTGGTAAAAGATTTGAAGTCCCATGTCCTCTGCAGTACAGAATACTTCATTCATAATACGTTTTGACATAGACAGAATATTAACACCAAGTGGACAGAAGTTAAAGTGTCTGCAAATGCTTTTCGTTAGCTTGAAAATAGTTTTATCTGAACCATCCAAACCTTCGAACTTCACTATATGGTTGTAATTTCTTATAGCATATCTTATAGCATCTTTGTCATTTACTATGGTTATTTTTGACTCAATAGGAGATAGAATAGTTTTGCCATAAATGCTGTTCAGAATGAGTTTTATAATTTCTTGTAAGGGGTTTCCTTCTTTCTTATACTTTAACCTTAACTCAAACAACTTCTTTACTTCATCTCTTATTCTCATATCTCTGTTTCCATCGTAATAGTATCCTTGCAACACTTCACATTTGACACCTTGATATTTTATGAGGTCTTGTAATGTTATATGGTCAACATACATGAGACAGCAAGTGTTTGAACTTCTTGGAACGTTAAGTTCTGGATTTAGTTCAGGGTCGCAAACTATTAAATGAAAGTGTCTGGGTATACCAATCTCTGTTATCTTAATGAGAACAAAGAAGCCAGACATAAACTTTTCACCAATGGGTTCCTTTTGGTCATCATCGAATAAATGTCTCATGAGATACTCTGTGCTTAACATCTCATCCTTCAATACTTTTGGAATACCTTCTAAAGTATAAAGTCTTGCTATAGCTGAAGGATATAATGAAACAGTGTCGAAGTCAGCAATGAGTTTCTTTTTGCTCTTTTGTTTCATGTTATCTGACAACATACATCTTCCACCTTGAATGCATCTCGAAATAAATTCTCTTGGTTTATTTGAGAGGTCATAAAGATTTCCATTCGGGAAGTATACTCTGTTCTCAAACAATTTGTTAGCAATTGAACAAATACTAACGTAGTCATAAACGTTTAAATCAAACTCTTTCAATAAGTCATTGCGGAACTTTACAAAACCTTCTCTTAAAATTCTTACATCTTGTTTGCAGTAAAACGTGCTATATTTTTCTAAGTCGAAGTGGTTTTCATCTATTCTGCAACCTTTGATGGAATCTATGTTCTTCATAAATGTATCTGCATCATGGATAAACTTACATGCTTCAGAAATGACACCAGTTCTGTTGTCATTTGCTAACAAAACACTGCTGTAGTAGTTATATGGAAATACTTCTTTCGGTCCTGTTTGTAAGTTAAACATAGCAGGAAATAGTTTAAGCTTCTTATTTATAACACTGTAAGAGTCTTTTATAATAATTGCCCGTCCTTTATATAAACCAGTTATTTGCATTGTTCGTGAACCTTTAATGATGGGAGTTCCTTTCACTTCTGTCATGTGTCTTAAGATGAAGTTTATGTCATAACTGAGGTTATGGAAATATATTAAACTCTTGTCAGGAAGTCTTTCCAAAAATTCTGTTGCACAGTTTTGACCCCAAATGCTTTCACTCACTGAACCATCTTCACTGTCATAACAGATGTTAAAAGCTTTATGAAAGCCATCCGTACTACACTCAAAGTCAGCAAAGAAAACGTGCTCAGGTATGAATTTACATTTAGCTTTATTTACTTCTTTTGACTCTGCTTTCTTCTTCAGTTGTACACAATACTTTGGAGCATATGTCAAATCTTTAAATGGTGCAAGGTTCTGTTTATATAAGTCAGTAGTATATGTGAAAAGTTCTCCATAAGAAATAGGTTCGAAATATTTGCACTCCCACAATGTTTTCATAACATCCCATAACGGGTGTTGTTCTATCATAACGAACTACATATTTATTTCTCTCTTTGTATAAATCTTCATCTGTTTCTCAATGTTCATTCCACCACACTCCTTCAAGATTTCTTATAGTTTCGAATGAAGTATGTTGTCATTGGTAATCTTTCATTTAGCATGTAGTGGTCTTCAACAAGAAGTAAGTCAATAGTTCTAACAGTTTCGCATTCTTTTGGTATATATCTCTTTATTTCATTATGTCTTGAGTCATTGAAATAACCAATGGTAACATTAAATGCTATACCTGTTGCGTCAGAAATTTCTTGTACTTTACTTTGAGGAAAGTCTCTAACACGAATGACTTCTCTCATGTGGTCAATAGTTTCTTCATTTACTCCAGCCTGAATGCAAGCATAAACGAAACAATTGTCCTCTGTCATAAGTGTTGCAGTTCTTTTGTTCAGTTCATTGAAGATTTGGTAGCGTTCAAGATTTATAGGTAATGTGCAAAGATACTTCCAGAACTGACCGCTTCTCTTCTTATAAAACTTCTTTTCACCATTTCATTCCAAAAGCTTTCTATAAGTGCTGGGTTTCCTGTTTGCTTAAGAGCTTCCAAAATCTTTCTGGTCATTTGTCAGTGTGCTTTCATCTCTATATGGTCTCTTTTTTGGTTTGCCTTTCTTTACATCTGACATCGTTAAGCCTTCATATTCTGTTAAATCATACATCTTTATTTCAGTAAGATTCTTTATGTTTGTCAAGAAGAAGTCATAGTGCATTTCAACAATACCTGCAGCATTTGCTTCTATCTCTGATATAAAGTTCTCCTTCAAGAGCTGATGTAGTAATGTTCCAATATTATTGAGGTTTAACGTAGAACATTCATACTTTCCACCAAGTTTATAACATACCATCCATCTCTGTTGTGAGTTTATTTTAATTTTCTCTAAGAGTCTCATGAAAACCTTACCGAAATGTTTGTGTAAATATTCTCTGTTTGGTTCATCTAAAGCTTCGATGTTAAAGTCAATGAGTCTATTGCCTGACTTCACATTTCTCTTCCTATTCTCTTCATCTTTCTTTAACCATCTCTCACCTTCTTTTGGTTTGTCGTCAATGGAACGAATGACATCGTTAGCTTTGCGAACTTGTTCTATAGCACTTTTAAACATCTCTCTTCTCTGTTGTTTCAGTGTGTCGTCTCTTCTTCTTGTTTCACCAACGTTTGCATTTGTTATGTCAAACATTTCTCTTCTTACTTCATGAGGTACTGAACGTCTATGATATAAGTCAATAGCAATGTCATTTAAAGAAATGCTCTTGCATGGACTTCGTCCTCGCCGCGTTGCGGCTTTATGAACTCATGAATTCTATCATAACTTATTGCACCATTGTAGTCTTTAATGAAGTCAGCGAGTGCTTTTTTTGTTTGTCGCGTAATGTTTTGCAACATCTATATTAGCTTCTGTAAGAAGTTGTTTTATTTCCGAGTGTTCTAACTTAGACAACTTCCGATACATCTTTAGTAGGAAATAAAAAAATATTTTTGAAAAAATTAGATTAGATTTTTTTTAAGTTATTTTTCAAAATAATTTAATATTTTTATTTTAATGAAACACATGCAAGATTGCAAGTTCTTTTCATACAATGCTCTCGCTACTGCCATCAAGAATGAGTTCAATAATGCTTCAAATGTTAATGTTATCTTTAACAAGAAGTTTGTGAAAGAATCTAAGTTCGGTCAGTATGTCAGACCATTAGCTATTGTCATTGACCGCAAACGTTATACTTCACAAGAGTTAGCAGTAGTTTTGAAACAAAAGGGTTTCTTCGTGAATGTCAAAGATACTCATTATACTGTTATAAAGAACTCCAACATTGACTTCTTCAGTATTGCTTTAAATCTTTCCGAACAGAAAGAATATAAGAAGGGTGAAACATCTGTGAAATATTATCCTTCATCTCTGAAGACAATAACGAACAAAGATGTTATACAAAAGTTCTTACCAAAGGTTGAAGAAGCTTCAATTGACATTGACGAAGGAAGTGAAATGGTTGAAGAAATTGACCCTGAAGCTATTTAACCAAAAATATATTTTTGGTGAAGAGGTGAGATGTCACCTGTTTTCTCACCTGTTTTCTCACCTCATTCTCTCTTCGTTAATGTTGTCGTGACTTCTTCGTTAATGTTGTCGTGACTTCATTCTTCCTCTTTGAAGTTATCGAAATATTCTGTTATTTTTTCCTTCAGTAATGGTAAGTCTTCTTTGAAGGTAAGTATTGTGCAACCTTTGATGTCATAGTGTGTTTGAGGAAGAGTATTTTTGACAATTTCTTTTATTTGCTCATTCGGTGTCATTGAAATCGGTAAGTTTTCACGATAGAACCAGTTTCTGTCAGATTTATATATTTTAGCAAGGTCGTAAAAGCTTTTGTTGTTTCTTCTGACTAAATGCAACATAACCATATCTCTGTCTTCTTCATTCTCCAACTCTTCAGTATAAATCATATACTTATAGTTCTTTTCCTTTCCTTTTGGTACTGAACGCGGTATTCTTTTCTGTATGCTTTTGTCTTTGGATTCAATGACTTCATCTTTTGCTTGAAGTTTCTTTTCCATCTGTTCGCGTTCTTGTCTGTGAATTTCGTCAAGAAGTTTACAAACATACCAAGCATAACGAGGTGAAGCCCACATTGCTACAACATTTACGAGAAGTCTATGAACATAATATCCTCTCAAACCGTTTGGCAATTTTTCACGATTTTCATAGAGTTTTGGCGACTGGGGTTTTTTACCTACTCGCTGTTCTTCACTGTTTTCAGAAAAAAGTATGTCTCGCTGTGCTTCATTTAATAGTTCAATAGTGCTTTGGTTCCTAAACCAGTCTTTAGGAAGTTTAGTATCTGGAGCATAACATGCTGTCAAAATACTTTGCATTTGGTACATGTCGTCTTTGACTGAACGAATGAGACGTAACTGTTTGTTATATTGTATGTACTCGTATTCTTCATTTATTGCTTCATGAACGATAGCAGTTGTTGTGTTCTCTGATGTTGTCATTACTGTCTTTACATACAGGATAAAAAAATAAATAAAATAAAAACTAACTTTATTTTTTCTGAGATAAACACTATTTCTTCACAACATTAAATTTTATCCTGTATGAAATGACTTTAAAAAGATTATTGACTGACTTCGAATACTATCTCATTGACGCACTGACAGACCCTCAAAACTGTGTTGAAAGTTCTTTAAGCTTTAAGATTGAAGATACGACGCATTTTGTCTTCACTTACGTATTGAAAGAATATGACCGTTATCATAACGAAGTGAATCAAACACTAATAAAATTTGTAGATAAAAAATTGGTTAACAATGAATATTTTAAACGTGAAGACCCAAACACTGCTGGAGATGATGAAGAATACAGACAAGTTATTGAAAAAAATAACGCAAGATTAGATGCAATAGAAAAGAAGTTTAATGAATGTCTTACAAACACGTATGAATATCTTATGCGGTGGGAAGCCAGATGGAAATAAATTTACGTCAAATATGCAATTTATAAAATCTTATGTCGACAGGCTACGTAGCACAGTGGTCTAAGGTGGTGTTATGGAGGGGTCAGGGTCTGTGGTTCGAACCGCGACGGCGCCGTATTTTCTTATTTTCTTTGTTTGTCTTGTTTGTCGTGAATAAAAAGTATCATAAAAGTGCTATATCTTCCACGGGAATAAATAAAAAATTTACTTTATATCTTCTTTATTTCTCTTGCTTCCCGTGGAAGAAGGGTTTTGCTGTTTTTTCTCAGCCGAAATCAATGATTTTTTCATTTTTGGAATCCTTAGCGAATGAGGAATCTTTTCTCTCGTGGAAGCTTTGACCAAAAATAAATTTAGGTGAAGAGGTGAGATGTCACCCGTTTTCTCACCCGTTTTCTCACCTGTTATTTTATAAGCGTTTTACATGGTAAACGTTATTTTTTTAAATTTTGTGAAAACTCAACGGTTTGACACAAGCCCTAAAAATTATTTTACTCAGAATTTTGTTGCTAAATTCAGTAAAAATAATGTTTAGGTGAAGAGGTGAGATGTCACCCGTTTTCTCACCCGTTTTCTCACCTGTTATTTTATAAGCGTTTTACATGAATTGTACGATGTATATTTGAAATCCTAAACAATTTCGTAGCTTCTATTTCTTCTGTCAGTATGTCAAAAGTTTTAACAATGCCGAAGGTTTCTTTATATTTCTTCTTGACGTCAGATAGAAGGAAATCTTCTGCTGTTGGATAGTTTTTGTTCAGAAATTCTAACATGTTCATTTTATCTTCTGCTGGCTTTTCTGCTTCTTTCTTTAAGTCTGCATAGTCGTTTCTCATTCTTTCTATCTCTTTGACGGAGTAGTTATATTTCCTTATTGCTGCTTTACATTTAGAACATTGTGGGTTCAACTTTGCGTTATATTCTGAAACCTTACCTGC